TCAAAATTTGTCTCTCTGACACCTGGTGTCCAAGTTTGTTTTTTTTTTTTCCCCCTAGTCTACAAGTCTAATGGGTATTTCTATATAATTACTTTTTATTAGTGATAATAATAGTAGCTGGTGTCTCTGGTGCCAGAAAGCTCCCAGCTGTGGGATTCCCTTCTGTAAGAAAATAAGATCTGTAAAGAAAAATCTCATTTTACTGCTCAAAGTCTAGGCTAGATTTTAATTTTACGTGCCAGGCCATAGCCACATAACCCCAGCAATAAACCCAGGCAGGAAATCTTTCCCTGAATTCAGGTTTGCTGCAAGGCACGCTGTTTTACCAGTGTGATGCTACTACTTATTTTTGTTATTGCCAATTACAGTGGCTACTGCACAGACTGACCTTATGAAATATGGTCAATCAAAATCCTCACTGAATCTTGAAAGGCTCAGGAACCATGATGATATCAGAAAATAAACTGTCAGAATCGCAAAATGTGGCATTTCTGTAGATAATTATAGACAAAAAAGACTAGAAGGCACCTTCTGAAGCACTGAGCTGCCTACATTTGATTTAATGCAAATATTTACAGTAACTTAGATTCTATGGGAGTTGTTTAAGTATAAAAATAGTTCACAAAGAAAACAGTTTTTTTAGATGGTGACCCAGGATGCATACCCAGAGGGAAAATGGCCATCCCATATCAGAAGGGCATTGGCAAGGAGCATGGAGGGCAAGAGACAACAGGCTATCCATTTCCCTCCTATTTTTTTCTGTGCTTTAGTGTTCTTGCTTTCTTCCTCGATTTCTTCTCAGTTCCTCCTGAGAAGAAGGATCATTAGCCAGAGTTGGCTCTGCTGCTCTGTGAGGTCCATTGCCTTCCTCTGTGAGCATCCAGCTGAGGCCAGAGCCGTGACCAGCCATTAGCTCCCTGCTCTCGGTGAGGCAGCTTTAGTCTGTGCTTAAAGAAAAAAAAAAGTTTTCCCCATTACAACCAAAGTAAAGTATTGTCCTTGTTGGCAGCCAATGAAAAAAATGCCTATTGATGTCAGTAGGATGAGGATTTCATTTCAAGAGTTAGGCAAAAGAGTTCATTAAAGCATGTGAGTGCCTGCTTCTGGGGCATTGCTGTGCAGTGCTTAAAGTGGATGGCTCAAGCCATAGCCTTTGCCTTTTCTGCAGCCCCCCACGAGCCGAGCCTCCCCTCTGCTGCTGCACCTTCTGAGGAAACGTGTGCACATCTGTGGTTTTTAAAAGGAACTGCATTTAAAATGTTAAAATGTTTAGCCACATCAGTGTTTTTAGAAGATCCCAACTTCCTAATGTAGGATAATTTAGGCTGATGTTGTCCTACAAAGAGCTGAGCCTACGGCAGCAAAGGTCAGGTTAGGCTGATAGTATCTACATTGGGGCTTGAAACGCTTCTGCCAGGTTGAATGTTAAGTGAATTTCATTAAATTATTTCAGTCTACAAAACAGAATCAGGCACAGCTTATGAACAGTTCAGATCTGTCAGGGCCACCTGCCTTGAGTTCAGCTAAAATGACACCCGAAGTCACAAGATGTTTAGTTGTGTGGCCAGCTGACACATTTCCCACCGTCTCTCGTGGGCCAACACTCTCCTTGTTTAGGTGACAAGAAGGCAGATCAGGCAGGCGCCTGGCTGCAGGAGAGCGCATGCAGATGCCGTCCTGCTGCCACAGCATTTTGTTGTGAATCCCAGCATGGTCTCCCCACACTCTTAGTTTCAGCTTCCAGGACAGAAAGATGGACATGAAATGGCCACTACATCTTGCTTTTGGTCAGAAATGAGAATTTTTGCAGTGTGTTGAGGTGCATGGCTTTATTTGGGGTTGGTGGTAAAACCTCTGAAACTGTCACGGCATGTACAGGGCAGAATGCAGTCTGCAACCCAGTCTGCTTTCCTAGGTTTTTGTATAAGTTTCAGCTGGAAACAAGATTTGGCATGAAAGCTAATGGATGTGATAGCAGGAGAACTGAAACCCCAGTGAAAGCTAAATGGATCCCACCCTTGACCGAACTGCAAAGTTTTGCCTACCTTTAACCCCAGCATTACCCGCCAGTGTCCCTGAATGCTGTCTTTCTTCCATCCTGTAAATGAGAAAGGTCATGTCTGGCTCTTTCTCATTTAAAGTACATGTAAATCTGGGATACACAGCACATACACAATTGCAGCGCAGAACCTGAAAAGTGATCAAAACCACCTCAAACAACTATGCCTATCACACAAGATGCATTCTAAGCTCTGTGAGCATACACTTAGTAGTGATACATTTTTACAGTCTCGGTAGATGGCAAAAACCAGCACGTAACTTGTGTAGCAGAAATAAGGGGCGAGGGCCTGTGAGGGGAGGGCAAGGTCATTTCTTTTAAGTGTGCAACTGCATTCTAGATGTATTTGGCTGTAGCTTTGCACGTACAGGTGAGCAGCAATGTGCACATCAGTTAGGCGTGCAAACCATAGGTGAGCTGGCAAGGCGAAGTGGGATTGAGAAGTAAGAAATGTAGGCAGCTACACTGGAGGTCTGGGCTTCAAAATCTTTTGAAAAGGCAGCATTGTGTTTGAGTTGTGGTGCAAAGCTATCTGGCTACAGGCTCAGCTAGGGATCCTGGTCAGAGGACCTGCTGTGCAGGGAAAATGTTCAAGATGCCCCATCCTTGGAGGGGTTATTGCTCCTTCAGGATCACCTACTCAGGCTGATGGACAGGTATATTGGCCATGGTTTGCCCTCTCACCATGGCCTTCTCTTATGGTGCCTAAAATAACCCGTGGGAAGAGCCTGTGGTGTGCAGAAGATGATGTTGTGCCTGGTAGTGGTGCAAGGGATGGGAGATGCCTTCATTCTGTGTGCCACCTCCTGGCTGTGGTACCTATATAAACAGCTTTCTGATAGGGCTTGTCAAGTCAGATCTAACACCCCCCAGTTCCTTGCTTCTAATCTCCAGGTGCATTGTAATAAATTTAAACCTGAAGATTTTAAATCCTCCTGCAGCTGTGGGGCAAAATTTGTGAATAATTGGATTACTAATAATACGTAAAATCTGCTTTCTTTACCTTCCCCCCTTCCTCTTCTCCTTATTTTTTTTATTCTAGATCCACTAATAGTTTATTAGTGATCTTTATCAGTCCAAGTGTGGGCACAGATGAGAGGACTTGTATGGGTAGTGAACAGCAGGGCACTGTTGAGAACCTTTCCCTGGATTTAAAAAAAAAAACAACCCACCTGTTTTGTTGCATGTGCAGTTTGGTGCCCAGATCTGTGATGCTGGACATATGAACACTTTGTTTTATACTGCAGTAGCTGTTTAAAATTTTCTTCCTGAAAACATTCATGTATGTCCAGTTCATCTTAATGGGTGATCAAAGTGCATGTGCTGAAGATGTACTCTTCAGTGTTTGGACAATTGTAGCAACCTAAACCTTTTAAGGGCTGTTGAACTTAGAGGCTACAGCATGAGGCATTAGAGCATGGTGAGCCAGACTGGAGACCTGTCACCATATAATTTCCATTGATACCTTGTTGCTCGTGGCTACCATCAATCATTGTTTGTATGGGAGACAAGAGGCTGTGCTGTTGTAGGGAGCTACAGACACAACAAAATGATACAGTAGTCTGAAATAAAAGAATAATTATTTAAAGGTAAATGAATTTCACTTAGATAATAGAGATACAAGACAACTCCAGACACAAAAGAGTCCCTGCCTTGTCTGTAATCCTCTCTAGCTGAAAGGACCTGATCCTGCAAATCCCAGAGCCAGGTACGTGGGGCTGTCTGCCAGGGGTGGTTCCTGTGGCTCCTTGGTGTCAGCGATGGTGCTCATCACTGGGGTCTACAGCTGCACAACACGCAGCCCCCTGCTGTGTTTGAGGGGCTTGGAAGACCTATCTGTAGAAACCGAGGGAAACCTTCCATCTTCAGGGACATGTTAAGTTCGGAAGATAGTAGGCAGCAGTGCTTAGGGAGGGTCTGGGTGATGTGCCTGCACTAGTGGGAGGCCTCCTTTGAAAAATGCCCTCAGTCTGCAAAACAGAACAAGAAGGCCAGGGTAGCTCAATTTTTCTACTTTGAGGTTTTTTTTCCCTTTTATTCTGCCCAGATGTAGAGCCTGATAGGAACCTCTCAAGTGGGAAAATTGCAGAATCTGAAAACAGAAGCATAAGAGTTTTTCTTGGGTATAAAATTTCAGTCAATAATGTGCTGCTGCCTTATTGACATGAAAAGAATGCCTTTCATGTGATACAAACATTTACTTGCTCCTGCTTACTCTACTCACCTTGTACAGAAATGCTGATTGCCATTGACTAATCAGTCCATTTTTGTATATTCTCATCAGACTCTTTCTTTGGCTGGAACAATATGCACTGTATGATGCTTGCATGTCTAATAATTTGTTATTAGCACTTTGTATATGCCTTTGTTACTTCACAACTAACAGTTTGGCCTCCAAGTGCATGCATTTGTGTAAATTAATGTGTTATAAAATAATAGATTTATTTGCTATGTTTGTATCAATATAGGAGATGTGTAAGATACACGTAAAGACACTGATAAGTGCCAATTTAGTCACTGGCAGAAGACATTGTTCAGCTTGTATTTATACAACCACTGTTTCTGTTTAGGCTTCATAATGCCACATCTATCTTTTAGTCCTGTATTTATTCAATTGCAGATTTGCTTTGTTGATTTTATAATGATTAATTACAGTACCATATAAAACAGTTTAAGAAATTGTTTTTGTTATGCAGTACAATTCTAATAAGAAGTAGGAGATTTAATTTTTTCTTCCAGTGTTCCTGAAAGCTATAAATACCTTTATTCATATCATGAAATTATTAGATTACTGATCAAACAACTTTATTCCCCTGATATTGAGCTAATAATAATAAGCTCTATACTTGGTTCTGAACCAAGCTTCAGAGTAATGGCAGTTGCTGTTGCAGTGCTAGGACCTGAAGACATCACATTTATTTTGTGTGTTTCAAAATCTCAGGACACTGTCTCCTGCAAAGTCTCCATCTTCGTCCACTGGATCTATTGCTTCCAGCAGAAAATACCCTTACCCGATGCCGCCACTTCCTGACGAGGAGAAAAAAGCCAACAGGCAAAGTGCCAGGGTACATGTCTCTCTTCTCTGTGCATTTCGTCAGTGACTTGATTTACTGCTAGTTTTTCAAAAGGAAGGCGTGGCAGATCACCATCTTTGACTAAGAGTGAGAGCAGCAGTGGCATTTCCTTCGTACCCTTAACTCCAGCAGCTGCTGAAGGCTGAGCCTCTGGCAGCCATTAGGGCAGCCTTGGTGGCTGTGTTTACAGATATCCGCTCAGGTTGCTCTTAAACCTGCCCTGAAACCCAGATTTCACTAGTTGTCTTATTTTAAGCTGGGAGCGTGCCTGGGGCAGCCTTGGGACTGCAGAGGGCATGAAGCCCTGGAGCAGGCAGCGCATCTGGCTCTCCTCCCTTACCCGTTCCAGGGGGCTGATGCAGCCAGCAACTCTAATTCGGGCTGGGGGATAGCTGCTTTCCAGCTTTTTTTTAGGGAAGTGATTGTGCCCCTGTACTCGGCACTGGTGAGGCCGCACCTCGAATCCTGTGTTCAGTTTTGGGCCCCTCACTACAAGAAGGACGTCGAGGTGTTGGAGCGTGTCCAGAGAAGGGCAACAAGGCTGGTGAGGGGTCTGGAGAACAAGTCTTATGAGGAGCGGCTGAGGGAGCTGGGGTTGTTTAGCCTGGAGAAAAGGAGGCTGAGGGGAGACCTCATTGCTCTCTACAACTACCCGAAAGGAGGTTGTAGAGAGGTGGGTGTCGGTCTCTTCTCCCAAGTAACTGGCGAAAGGACGAGAGGAAATGGCCTCAAGTTGCGCCAGGGGAGGTTTAGATTGGATGTAAGGAAAAATTTCTTTACTGAAAGAGTAGTTAAACATTGGAACAGGCTGCCCAGGGAAGTGGTTGAGTCACCATCCCTGGAGGTATTTAAAAGACGGGTAGATGAGGTGCTTAGGGACATGGTTTAGTGGGCATGGTGGTGTTGGGTCGACGGTTGGACTCGATGATCTTAGAGGTCTCTTCCAACCTTAATGATTCTATGATTCTATGATTTATGGAAAGGTAACTACGCTGCAGTTAAGGAGGATGTGGAGGGCTTGTATCAAGCCCTTGCAGACCTGGAGTGACTTTGCTGCCACGTACCCTGAGCCCACCCTGACCCCCCCAGGGTGGGCAGGAACAGCTGGAACGTTCTGTGGATGGTGATGCTGCTCCATGGGGAGAGATTTCCAGCTGCTGCCGAAAGGCAACGCTAGCCGTTGCTTCTTCTGTGTCAATTCAGACATAGCAGATATTTGAATAAGCAAAAAACCTCTGAAATTTACTTCAGGAGTTTCACTTGTAATAGCTTTAGTTCTTGTTCCTGATGCAGATGAGATTCCCATCTCTGCTCTCTGTCCTTTCTTCTTTCCAAGAAAAAAAGGAGTGGAGTGCTGCTGAGGGCACCTGCATGCTGCTACGCCTACGTCCTGCTCAGGGCAGAAAGTTGTGTGAGGGGCAGCACAGGGTCTCCCAGGCAGCTTGGAGAAAGGGCTGCGCTGATGTTTCTCAGCCCTGGAGCTGCCTCGGCACCAGCTCAAACCCATGGCAGAAATTCGTGCTGCCCTGAGCAGAGTTAGGCAGAAGAGAGAGGGAAATTACACAAATATTAGTTAGCGTAACTGTAAGGTAAAAGCTGTCTAATACAAAGTTGATGCTACGCTGACATTTTTCCTTCATACTCTCTGCACTCCCAGCCGTGGCTATTTACTATGCCGACTGCAAGTCATGCTGAAATGCTTGAGACTGCTGACTTTGTGGTCTGAACAGATACCCACCAGAGGCTGGGAGGAGACCGAGAGCGTAGCCTTGGTGACCCAAGTGACGTAGATGCAGTTCCTCAAACAAGCTCCTCACACTGTTTGGATAACAGCCTGTTTTATGTTGGTGTTCAGCGTGTCTCTTGTGTTCCTTTTCCCCCTCTCCAGCTATGGGAGACGTCCATTTAGCTGCACGGTTTTCCTGGGGTGACATCAGAACTGTTTACTTCGAATTTTATAGAAACTCAGCATCACTGAGTTCTTGCACATTCATCTGCTCTTCAGACAATTCGAAAGATCAACAGAGATGCCCGTGATCACAGTGAGAACCTCCTCTCATCTGGAAGGCAAAAAAACAGTCTTTTCTTTCTTTCTTTTTTGTTGACTAGTATTTTATGGATTTGATGAACAACCAAAATCATAACAATTAACAGGGGATAATTAGCCCGGACGTGACAAGGCTGTTCCGCATGATGACAGATACACTTACCTAGAATCCCAACTGCAGTCTGTTTGCCAGTTCCATGTAAGAGAGTTTTTTCTCTGGTTTAGTGCAGTCCTGAGTCAGACCAGAGTGGAACTAGGAATGCGCCTCCTGGAGAGCCCAGCCGATGTAAACTTGTACGCTGTATGCATGAACCTTGTGTTCTTTACTTTCCACATGTAAGGGATAAACAACATACTGTAGTAGAAATTAGCATGCAGGAGTAAGAAATATAGGATTTTTTTGTGACAGGATTTCAAGCTTTGAAAGGCAACTATTTGACACAAACGTCAAACAAACAAGGATTATATCTTTTTTTTTTACCTTACGTGTTTATAATCTCAGTATACAGATTGTATATATGTAAACATTTGATAATGTCAAAAATAGCTGTTATACATAAGTGTATTTTGCCAAATGCCTAAAGAAACAGTCATGACTAACATCATCACACTTCAGATTTTCTAATATTACGAGCAGACAACTTTGGAAATACAGAAAGTACAGTACTGTAAAACCGTGTCTCTCAGAAACTGGTGTTTGACCAAAATCTATACTCTTTTCAGTATCTTATACTGTCTTGACAATCTCAATTGTATGGTAGACTGCAGAAACCAGTACAGCAGCACTTTGTCTTACATCATCGTAAGAGGAACCGGCTAAAATCCGTTGTTCAGTGAGATGACCGGTGTATCCTCTCACAGGTGTAATAAAGAATGATTCGGCAGACAACAGAGACAGAGTCTTTAAGTAATGTGCAGTCCAAACTTACTGGACATTTGGGAATACTTCTAAGTAGTCAGTTCAGGATGTGGTGATGTGAAGTCCTTCTGGTGAGGGTTGCTGTGTATTTTTGATAGAGCATTCCAGACACGGTTTTAGATGGCAAGGCGTAGCTTATGAGAAGCATAACGATTTCACTGCACTAGATAATAACAGTGCGGGGCAAGTGGCCAGTTGCATTGCTGTCTTTTAATTTTTATTTGTTACTGGAATCGCCTTTACCATGCGCTTGAATGCTATGCTTGCTGCCCCTGAAGCCCCCTTGACAATTTTTTTGGGCATTAAACTGAGTACAAGTGAGTTTAGCCTAAAAAAACGGGGGAGGGGGGTAGGGGGGGAACAAACCCTTTAGCATGGAGATGTTAATCCTGTGTGTAAATGGATGGTTACATTTCTAACACCTGAGACTTCTAAAGGTTGTTGTAAACCAAATGTCTTTTGATTGGGAATTTTCAGTCAGTAAGAAACTTGGCCATATTAAATCAGTTTATAATTCTCCAGCTTTCCAAAATTGACTAATTCTTAGCTTCAGATAGTACCATTGCAGAATAAAGCACCTGATTCTCTGCGGTGCAGTTGAATACCTTGCCCAACAGCCGTATGATCAATTAGATATTATTATGATGGGAACATCTACGGTGTTTCTGAATCTTCTACCTCTTTCATGTATTTCCTTTAATAAGTGAACCCAACACTTGCAGCCTTTTAATATATTTTTTTAACTTTTAAGTCTCTCGATAAAGTCAAATATATGTAAGATTAAATTAAGAAATGTTTAAAGATGTCAGCAACTGTAAAGTATGTAAGATTTTTAGAAACACTATATTTTATGATTAGGCTGCGTGTTGGATTATGACAAAATACTGGCCTTGGAGTTCCAATGATCTTCCTTCACAGTCGACAGGTTCTGGTAAGTATTTTGCAGAAAGAAAATATGAGTGAGTACAAGTGGATGCAGACAGACCACCTGGAAGGAGTCAGTCACTTGTAATTGCTTTAGGAAAAGATTCTGCACTTTTGTGAAGAGTAAATATCTGTCAGCACTGAAGAATATTTTTTTGCAAAGATTTACTTTGAGTGTAGGTAACTGGATTAAAGATAGTTGGTGGCCTATAGCTCGTGAAATTAGGGCCTGAGCCATAATCACTTGAAATCAATAGGCCTTTTATTGATTTCACTGGACTTTGAGCAGGACCTTCAAGGAGTTCACCCGCATTAGGACATTATGCTAACCCAATAGCCTCTGTGTTACTCTGTCGCCTGGAAGCTGTTTTTCCCTCACATGCTAGTATCTTGTCTTTAGTAATTGGACTGTTCATCATGTGCCTTTCATGGTATTTTGTTTGGATACAAACTGGCATGTAATTCTGAATAATCCTGTTAGAGTTATGTGCATATTTTATGTTTACCACTGTTTACTCTTCCTTTCCATTTTGCCTTATCGAGAAGCAGCAAGATTTGGCAGACTGAACTGGGTGTAACATACTGGCTCTTTGTGTAATGTTCATAGCTTCTTGTTTTGCAAACAAATGGCTCTCCTGACTGTATTTTCAATGTAGTATGTACTTTCAACTTCTCTCTTGTTTTGGTATAATTCATTTGTAGCATATGATGATACAGTTATGTGTGTAGTGTAACTTTTAACAGTCACTTTCACATTTGGAGATACGTAGTGACTGGAAGTCTAGTTATGAGCACTAAGTTTACTGTAAATAAATACTGACTTTCACTTTGATGGTCTAGAGTGGGAACATCATGGGACCTGGGTTTTTGCAAAATTCTTCTGCAGAGAATTTTGCATCAGGTTGGTAACTTGGAGACCTTGTCATTACATGAAACCTGAACTAGTAGGGCTGTGTGAGCCTCCAAAGCCAGTGGAGGTCAAAGAGAGAAGTTGTTTGCTTACATTCTGTGGTTTCCTACTTCTAAAATGTAGTGTGTTGGAAGGCTGCCAGATTAATAACCATGAAGATTGCAAATATTTTTATCAACTGTATTTAGTTACACTGGCAATAGCAATATAAATTGCCACATAATACCTCATCCAGTCTAAAATAGAGTACTTGTATTGTCAATAGGATAGCTCAGTCATTTTGACTCATTGAGACTCATGCTTTTATTTTGTTTTTAATTTTATTTTAATAAATGAACTAGTTATTGCCAGCTATGCTGTAGATGCCTGTTGAAGTGGGGAGGTTATCAGCTCTTCTGAATACATTACAAGTAATTGTCCGTATGAGCATAGGACCTGCAGGATGGGGGTTATGTATTTCAACATGTGGGAGAAGACTCTTGTATAATTTAAAATAAAATTAATATGACTAACTGGAAGATAGAGATCGTATCCAAATAATACTGCTGCACAATGATTCCACAGTTTAACAAGTAAAAATTTACCCGCTAATTCTGAATTTGTTGACATAAGAACTTCAGTAATCCATACTACAGATTTTTGGTGAATATACTCAGGCAGTTTACCAGAAATGGTTGCGATCGATTGACAATTTACATAAAATTTTGTTGTATTTAAATAAGTAGTTTTAAAGAGGTTGTTCATTTTATGCAGCCTCTCTCTGCATAAGTTGTGAACTTAAGTCACTACTTGCCAGTTACCTGATTTGGAGTGTGACTTGCCTTTGAAGATAGCTGCTTCCAAATGACTTAAAGAGTTTTGTTCCTGATTTATGAGCTGTTGAACCTGCTAAGCTGATGTACTCATTAGATAATTTTGGTTGTGCTAATGAACAAATGGATCTTTGGGTTATAGCCTGAATTAAAATCAGAAAGAAATTGTGTCACTAGCTGGTGTACTGAAGTCCTCTTACCTGAATCCCTGTTGCCGGTTTTAAATGAACTGAGCGGTCTTGTCAACATCACTGTGATAACTGTGTTCAAAACCAGGGCTAAGAACAGGTGCATACACTATTACAGGCATGCACATACTACAAATTCTGGCCAAATTTGCAGTTCTTTCATTGCTTAATGAATAGGATAGGATGTAACGTGAAACAACGATGAGACTCCGTAATCCTATGGGATAACGGCTTAGCTCTTAGGACTTGCTCTGTCATCGAATCCCATACCTAGCTGTTATAAGCAAACTTGCCAAACTCCAGCGTAAAACTCAGCAAGCTCCTGTTCTCTTCTCTTCCGTCCCCTTTCTGCCCCTACTGAAAAGCATTTCCATGAATGATAATTACATCCACTAATAGCCTCTTGTGTTGGTTGGCTAAGATCGAAAAGCTGCTAAGGTGCCTTTCCACGCAATGTCCTGGATAAGGTTTTTCCAGTGCTGTTAATACATCTTTTGCTCTTGCTATAGTGTAGGTGATGGTGCCCCACGTCTCGTGTGCAATTTGCACTGGTAAAACCATTTGACGGCTCAGCCATCCTGCGTCTTTCTCACCCTCTAGCATTGTTGAAGGCTAAGCCTTTTTAATCACCGAGTCCGTGAACCTAGAAGTTGTGCTGTGTCCTGTTTCTCTTGCTCCAAGTCTGAAGATCATCCATGTCTTTCTCTAAGTTACTTAAGTATCTGTATCATTAACAGACTGTTTGGGCCACTGTTACCAACCACAGTGTGAGGTTTTTTACCTAATTTTTAAAGAGCTTGAGCATTCTGGTCTCCTCTGAAGCCATTTTTTTGTCCAGAATGGATTATCCATCAGACTGCTGAGCTGATGACCCACTATTTGCATGGCTTCCAAACCATATGAGACATCAGCAATATGGGATTTGACTTTGATCAGATTTCCTGAAGACAAATATGAGTAAACTGCACACGTACAGATTGTCATCCCATGACTGCATGGTGGGGTAACGTTTCTGTGTGCACATAACTATTATCCTAATAGAGCAGGAAAAAAGGGAACACTGAAACTGAGTCTGTAGACATAGTTGCAACACAGATAGAACTCTTAAG